AGGTGCACGAAGAGGAAACCACCGTCATCCGGCCCGAGCAACGATAGCATGTTCTCCATGAGCTCAAGCACGGTACCGCCACCCAAGCCTGACAGGTTGAGGAGCTTTTCGGCTCGTTCGGCGTCTGAGAGGGCATTGCGCCGAAGAAGCAGCTCTTTGAGGGTGGCGTATTTCCCTTGGGCGGGTGGGTCCCGGAGGAGCGCCATCGCGTGACGGATGGCCAGCGGGTCGAGCCACCACATGGTGATACTTCGTGTCGTCAGCCGAGATGCCGCGAAGGGCGAACTGAGCCTCCACATGTACAAACCATGACGGGGGGTCATGGAGCCAAAAGTCCAGCAGTTTCAGCGCCACAGCGAACGTAGCTGCAACAGGAGGCGGAGGTCCGGCGGCCGCTGATGCATCCATAGCAGAGTCTGCGTTATCTACGGCCCTACGGCCCGTTGCATGCTCGAGTCAGGGGTCACCAATGTGGAGGTAAGCATCAACGACACAGAGCTCTCAGTTCTCACTCCTTCTTTATTCGTCTCCAACATCAACTGCGCATATCGCGCCACAAAACACAGGAACACACTTCCTATACACTGGGTGTGAGTGGAGCCCTCTAGTGGTCCACCACAGTAATACCATTTTTTTTTAAAAAGCAAAAAAAAAAGCTTGTACTTCAGTAACTCCTCATTAATAATTAACTATGGATTAAACTCTTGAACTGAAAAAATGTAAGAGAAGAACTTCAGATTCTGGGTGTGTGAGGACAGAGAAGGATCAGCTCTATTTCAGATTTGAGAAATAAACTTTATATTTCAGTTTGTGATGGTTCTGTTCTCTTTGTGATTACAGGAGCTGTGCTCACATACCCAGGATCTGAAGCAGACAGATCATCCAACATGTTAACTGCAAAATTAACTGATGAAAACAGTACAAAGGTTAAAGTACCACATGTGCTGTCAGTGACTGTTTAAAATGAAGAGTGGAATCCCTATTTTAAATTGTGTTTTAAAAAACGTTTTGAAAATCAGGTTAATTTGGAATTTGAAAATGGTTTTTGAAACAAGGTTTTTATTGACATTTAGGTCTTTTCTTTGTGAAATTCATTATCAAATTGAAGTGTTTATTGATCGATTAATAATTCATTTTGAAAAATGTATTTAAAAATAGTGTTTAGATTAAGTGATTTAAAAATCAATTCGAAAATGAATTTACAAGTGCAGAAATCATTTTATAAATTATTATTTAAGCACAGAATTCTTTATTTCGATGTGTGGCTATTGTGGTCCTCCATAGAAGGAGGCGATCAGGGGAGCAGGATGACGCTGTCAGTGAAGGGAGGAGGAAGAGGAGGAGGGTCCTGCCCGCCGGCAGCAGCATCGTACTGAGCCTCTCTCCATCCCATGTGCTGCAAAGGGAAGAAAATGAGCTCACGTTCAGACATGTGCTCCTAGAATTTCAGCTCTGTTCGGCTTTCCTGTTTTTAAAAAAAATATAGCTGGTGATAAGAATACATCAGCAGCCTGGAAGATAATTTGTCAATCAAAATGCTTCCCTGCTCACCATCCGCGCAGATGGAGGGATGCGAGGAGGAGGAGGAGAAGGACGCACACATGCAAACAGAGGTAAAATGACACAAACGTTTCCTGTGCTGACTTCCGACACTCCAAATCAGCGTGTGAGAGGCGAGCATGCATGCGGGAGCCCGAGCGGCTCTGTTGCCCTTGTGGGACATTTCGCTGCCCGGCTTATGCTAGTGGAGCTCAGACATCAAAGAGCCGGACCCCTCCCTAAATCGTGCTCTTCACGCCATTTAAGCGAACTGAACCAGTCAGTGAGGAGAAATGATACGAGTAGCACAGCTACATCTTCCTTCATGGGGAAGTTTCTGAGTTTAAAACACGCTGTGTGTCTTTTTGTGTAAAAATGTGCGGAGTGAATGAGGCTGCCGGTTTATTCTGGACCGTGTGTCTTACTGCGTGCTCCCTTACAATAGACAGAATGAAAAACGCCTTAAATCATGTTCTCACACCACCAGGGCTTGGCTATGACCCCAAACACCTGCATGGTAGGGGTGGGCACAGGGGAAGTGAACCCCAGACCCCATTTCAGTGGTAATGCCTTGCTCTTGGAATTTAGTTGCCCCACCCTTTGACCTCCAAGAGCGAAAAATATGCTTAAAGTTGAGGTGGGAACAAAACCATCAACCTTTAGTGCTTATTCACCTGCTTCTTGCCCCCTTTTGATGGCTTTATGCCCACTTACTTACTGGGAATTGGACCCTCAAACCAAAGTGTATCAGTGCCTTGCTCTAATGTTCAAAGGCAGTAATGGATCACTAAGCTTTATGCTCGATCAGAGTCAGGGTTTCATCAGAAAATTCTGTTTTAGCACCATCTTCTGCAGAAAAATGTATTTGTAGCTGTTTTGTGGGTGAAGAAGAATAGAAAAGAGTCAGAGTCTTACTCACATTCTAATTTAACCTGCTAATATTAAACTAGTTTGCTTTAGTTTCTTCTTGAACTTTGTAAAGAATTAAGTTATAATCCAAGAACAAGAGCAGAGTCTTAGGGTCGTATTGCAGTTTTTATAGGTTTCAGCTAAATTTCCTGGTCTTCATTTGGCTCAGGCACTCTCCCAGACACCCACCTCAACCATGATCATACAGTTAAAGATCCACACTTTAGCCGTACTCTGGTAATTACTGTATTGGCTTATCAAGGCCCAGCTGTGAAGCCTCAAGCTGGATTTTTAAATGCATGAGCGAGGTGTGGATCCAAGAAACACAGCATGATCACTGCAAAGAAAGAAAAGCATCTACATTTTAGCTAAATCTACCTACCGTTTACAAGGATTCAGCCAAAAGAAAAAAGCTTAACCTTCCAGGTATTATCATATGTGGACCATGTTTTAATACTGTAATTGTCTCGGTGCAAAGAAAATGAAAAAATATTCATAATAACAGTTTGTTTCCATTAAAATTAAAAGGAAATGAGAATCAAATAGCTTGGGACTGCTACTCTGATAGGTGGGGAATAGGTTTTTTGTCGTGGTCGGTGGGAAGTGCAGGAGATCGAACCGCTCAACCAGGCAACCTCAGTGCCTTCCTGTGTGCCGATGAACCAGCTGCCCTCACTGTGCTCCTGAGGGAAATCTAAGCTGACAGTGTGTGAGGCTGCAGGTAGAGCCGGGCAAAAGTGGGACAAGTGCTTCCTGCTGCTGGAGGAAAGAGAGAGAGAGCACGAGCGAGCGAGTGAGCTGGATGCTGAATGTCCTTTTCGTGCTTTTTTATCTGAGGAATGTCCGTTTTGTCGCAATTCCGCCCTTTAGTGGCCTCGAACTTTGACCACTGATATGAGATCAAGCACCGTTTTCCTGTTAGCATCAGAACACCATGAACACATCTGTGTCACTGACACAAAATAGATCCAATCAGACTGTGTTCATCTGTTTGTAGAACTTTTTAGGTCACATCTGTGAAATCTAATGTAAGGGGAGCTGAGGATGGTGAAGCATCAGTTTAGGGCTACACCCCAAGAACAGTTTAGGTTCTTAGAGCTCAAACCAGGAAGTGCTGGTGTCTGTCGGTCCTAGATTTTAATGGAATAACATTTAACGGGTTTAAGAATTCCAGAAATTAGCCCAGTTCTCCAAGTAGCTGAAGTTACACCTCTGACATCAGTGTGTGCAGGTGAAATGTGTGCAAATAGGTCTTACATTACAAATCACAAGACAAGCGAGCACCAATTGTAAGGAAAAAAAAGATCCCATCCATCCCAGAATTTATATCCATATGTGGGATTTTGTAGTGTTGTTACTTCTCTGTTTTGTCAAGTGTTGGTACGTCATCCACAAAATGTCCTCCATCATTGTCAGAAACACCAAGTAGCTTTAGGATCTTCAGTGGAAAATGTGGTCAAATGTGTCCCTGACCGCCTTGTTTAGTGATCTAAATGACCAAAGAGCTATCTGTCTTGGTGGTCATTCATGATCTAGTCTGCCTGCGACTATAATACTAGGTCATTATGGCCACACAGAGTGAGACTAATGGTGCTCTGTGAAACTCATCAAAGTCAAAAGTTGGTTCATCAGCTGCAAGTTGCTCTGTAATGGCAGATTAAGTCAAATAACTAACATTTGTTGGAACAATCACAGAGTAAATAAAGAGTAAGGGGGGAAGCCACCAACATTAAGTCACCCAGCGGTTTGTAGAGTGTTACGAAGCTTCAGGTTTGGCCTTTCATCCGTCACCATCTTTGTTTCATTTAACCTGCATCATGAGGTGGAGGTGACTGAAAAAGTCTAATCCACCTTTCCAATCCCAAAGCAGCCACACCCTGATGCAAGCACAGCTTCATCTCCTGTGGATCAGAAGTAGAAAGAATAGAGGCTTAAGATGCCTTTGAGCCCTGTGCACACTCTGTGGAAACAGCCAGTCTGTGTTTGCATCACACCCAGCTGCTGCATCAGTCAGATGCTTCTCCTGTATTTACCAGTGACTGATGACCACCTGAACACAAACCCCTGATGAGTACAGTATGGTCACCTTGGGATTTGTCCAGGCTTTACAAGCAGACAGTAACTGCCTGAATGCATCTTTAAATTGCTGATGGGCAAGCGAGGATGGACACTAAAAGCCACAAAGGAGACATCATCTTCTATTTCTGAGAACTATAAAAATCGAACGTCTGTAAGTCCAAATGTTTGAATCATCAGTCCTTGAAGGAGCCTGTATTTGGGCCACCAGGAAAATTCACTTCACCTTGACTGACTATAAAACTCGTCCCCAGCCTTTTGGCTCATCTTATGTCAGTCCATCTGAAGTAGTTACCTCCAATGACTGTGCTAATGACATGCTGCATGTGGACATACCATTTGGCCTAAAAGTTCATCATTTTAACCTTGTATTTGGCATTTCCTTATGATGCGCCTTGTCACGTGTGACATCACTGCAGCGGTCCGATGGAGCGTGTAAAAGGTAAATCTTTTTAACGATGCACTCCCTGCAGAGGGTCTGATTCTGATGAATCTTCAAGGTTTGGCTGTTGCCAGTTTGCATCAGTCATATGTTAACCATTATGTTTGTTTCACTACATTGCTCCAGAAAATGAGCTTGAAGCTAATCAGTGTTCTCCAGTATGCAGAGAGTGATGTTTCATGCAGTGCGTTTGTACTCTGGAGGTTGTTTAAACCCACAGGGAGACGTTTCTTTGCCTGTGTACTTTTGTTTTTTGCTTTGCAGGAGATCACTGAAAGCTTTACGAGTTTCAATTACCATTTTAAATTAATTGTGTGCAGAGCACAGCAGCACAGCAGATACTCTGTTGGTCACTCAGGAGGGCACTTTACTTCTGTCCTGTAAGGGAGGAGATATGAATGATGGGATGATAATCCAACAGTTACTTTTCTGCTCAGTGAGCAAGCACAGACACATATCTGAGAGACGGCTGACTAGAAAGAAACCGTCATCATCCCAAAGCTTCTTGGGGCTGCTCTTTTATTCACACGATGCCACCACACACCTGGCTTCACCTGTTTGATTTAGCAACCTGAATCCTTTCATATGTCAGGCAACTCTGTCAATGTTAGTAATACGGGGAGATTCTAACCAGCTGTGCTTGTTTTTCTCAGTCAGACTAGAAATACATGTTTGGGTGTGGTGGAAAAGTTGATTTGTCTTTGAGTGTGCATGTTGAGTTTCTGTTAATCTGTGACGTTTGCAGCTGCTTTCATTTTTCCAACATTCAAACGCGGCGTCTCCTCAGCTACTTGTCCGAAACACAGCACAAGAAGAGACAGTGGATGCGAAAATAAGCAGTTATGGCCTTTCTGGCTTTTTCTATGGCAGAAGTCAAGTCAGCAGGAGCAGAGTGAGTCAGTCTGTTATCAGAGGTGATGGGCTGTCAGTGTTATTACAGAAAGCCAGGCAGCATTTTAAGACGATGGAAGAGGGCAGCGCAGCCTTCAGCACAGAGGGGCATCGGGCAAAATGAACGTTTATCTGGAGGACGTGGTAGGAAGGAAGTGCTTGTGATGCTTGTGTTAGCTGCTAACACTGTCGCTGCAGTGTTCTAAGCATTACTTCATATTAGCCACATTCAGAAAGGATTAATATTATTGTTGGATTTTAAACGTTGGTGTCACCAAGTAAAGTAATGCCAGTGAATCTTAGCAATCACAGCTTGAGAATCAGCAGATGCATGCAGCTAATCCTGCAGAAATATTCTACAGTGGCAGCAAGGTCATGGTTCGTACCCGCCTAACGTGTGAGTGTTTCTGTCAGGGGTCTTTGTGTTCTCCCTGTGCCTGTGTTGGTTCTCTCCAGTTTCTCCAGCTTCCCCAAAGGTGTGCGTGTTAGGTTAACTGGTGACTCTCGATTTGATGTAGGTTCTGAATGATTGTTTGTCTGATGCACCAGCTTCCAGGTACTGCTCGTTGTTGGCCTGCTGAAAGTGTTTCAGGATAAAATCGCTGCTTTGTCACAGCTGAGTGTGTAAATTGTTGTGTGTGTGTGGGTGTAACTTCACTCTGCTGATATCAGTGACCTGTACGTTCAGCCTGTTGTGGAACATGATCTGATCGGTTGACCCTGCTGTCTGCTCCAGCAGTGCAACAGACTGACGGAGGAGAGAGACGAGGCAGAGAGACAACTCAAACACATCAAGAGAGGTGAGTCCAGCTTGTTTACACCTTCTCAAACTCTCAAACACACAAAAAAATGTGTTTTGAAGCAGGAAATGAAATTAAAGAATCTTTGCTAAACAATAACCTTCAGCAGCTATAACAACCAATAATGGAGTGACAGACATTTATTCTGCAGACATTAGTGTTCTATAGAGGATGAATAATACCAAGTCATCTTCTTACTTTTAAAAGCAGTCAACTCTGAAAAACCTTTACACATATCCCATCAGAATCAGTTGATTGTTTTTTTTGTGCAAGAACTTGTATATCCAATTTTTTTACCTTGACTTTACTATGAATATTTTCCCAGTTACAGGTCCTAAAAGTACATGGGTGTGGCTTCGAACTTTTATCAATGGTTTTCAAGCCTTATAACTTTATAAAACAGAAGATATCTATACCAAATTTCCTGGTCCTAAAACAAGCTTTGTACCATGGATGTTTGATCTGTACCCTGAAGATCCAGCTACTCCTGGCATTTCCTGTCTGCTCACTTTGACCTTGGGATAAACTGGTTTAGAGTTTCTGGATCAGCCCATATTCATTAATAGTTTCTAACTTACTACTCATTTTTCTTCACCTGTCAGATTTCCATTTAGTAAAGTCCTCGTCCTCCTAGAGGTTGCAGAAAACTATAATTATCATTTAAAAGTAAAAAAAATAAAATAAATGGTGCCATTAATGCTTCAGTGCACACAGACAAATACTTATGTCCAGATATCAAATACCACAGAGCAGCCTGACACCTCATTCCAGCGAGCCTTCACTTCCTCCGTCCCTCTTCGCGTTATTCATCTGTGCCTCTGCTGGTATGACATCACCAACACCTTGTCCTCTGAACAGGTGTGTTTAAGAGGGTGTCACCCATTTCCATGGTGACTCTCAGTTTAGTCAGCCAGTTGTAGGGGAGCACTTTTGTTCTGAGGAGTTTAACTCCTGATTCTAAAACTGAGGAAACTGCAGCACTTACCTACGGCTCCCATGCCTTCCATGATTATTCACAGAGGTAAGAGAAGGTTTACTGATCTTTATCTATTATAGAAGCATATAGGAGTCAAGTGTTTGCATAGCTACCTGATTATGTGTGGGATGGATAAATTAGTGGTGCTAAATGTCTGTTTAGGATGCTAAAATTCAGACTACCAACTTTTTCATATTCAAAAGGCTTATATTCGATATTCTTGTAGATTTAGCCATATTAACGAACACACAAGCCAACATTTGTCTTCCAAAAAGATTATATTTTAATTATCCTTTTGTGTCTTAGAGAAGCGGGTCAGTGATGTCAGTCGGTTCAGTCAGCTATGTGTATGTGGGCGAGCTGTTATTGTCCAAAGGTAACAGGAGAACCAGGCGTTCTCCATCTGTGGCTTGTCCTCAGGTGACGTTTCAGTAAAACAGGCCGATTCAGAGTCATCGCCTACCTCCCCTAACTACAGCAGTTCTTCCTAAATCTAACGGTGTCGTGTCAATGTCTGATTTAAAGATATTTTTGTTTTACTGAGCTCCTTTGTTGATTTAATTTAAGTGGAGGCATTCAGATGATCTTACCAAAGTTAGTGTCCCCTGAGGATGAACTCTAATGATGCTGTCAGGGCTCATACTCTACATCTGGTGTCACCACAGGGCATGACACTGTATTTTTTAACCTTCTATGAACATAAGTTAACAGCTGTTGGATAGATTACTGAGAATTTTGATAAACTCCATCTTGGCCCCCAGAGGATAAATCCTAATTCAGCTGACATTTCCCTGCCTGCCATCAGGTCAAACATTTTATTTGACCTTTTAATTTGCACAACGTGGTCATCTACATTCGTGATCCTGCAGTGAGACTGACCTTTTGCATTTTTAAGCATTTAATGCATTGGCATTAAATTTGGCACACAAGCATGATCCCAGCAGCATTATGTTAATCATACTGGTGATTTTTACTGCCTGGCATCATAAAGTTATAATTAGCGTTACCAGTTATTGGGTTTATGACCAGTTAACAGCCTTTTCTTTCCTTAGTGTTCTGTGAGAATGATTAAACTGACACGCTACAAGCTAAACTAAGATTGCAATCATTGCAGAGATCATTATACTTAAGCATCAGCTTTAACCCTGATGCACCGTTTGTGTTATATAATTAAGAGCACAGAGCTGCCGTTGTGTCTGCAGACTTTCAGTCGGTTGTAATTTTGTCTAACTGAGCCAAGCACGAGCAGCTGTTGTTGGGGCGGGGCCTATGGCTAATGGGGATGAAATAAATGAATAAATTAACAAATATTTGTTGGTTTAACTGGCGTTTAAAGAAACATGAGCTGAGTTATCCAGCTGGTGTTTTGCTGAGGTCTTCAGTGACTGTCAGATATCGCAGTCCTCTCCTAGAACTCAATAATATTCATATTAAATGGTAATGATGTGGCAGTTTAAAGTGCACGGCATGCTCCTAATGGAAGGAAATGATTGTCTTTCATATTTTGCAGTTTAAAGTAGAGTCAGTATACAATACAACGATCGGCAAAAGCGTATCATTACACACACAACAAAGAGGCCTTCCTGTTTGCAGTCCTTATGTTTAACAGGTGCAAATTAAAATCTGGGTGTTTAAAATTTTTATCAGAAAGGCTTCTGTTCATTTGGCGATTTTTCTCAGAACATTTCATGGGAACCTGTGAGAAAAACATATTCTAGTCTTTTAATCCGACTCAAACCTCAAACTGCCAGGAAAGTGTCACAAACTTGTCGTCAGCAGCAAAACTGGACCTAAGATCCTCAGCAGTGTCAGCAGATTGCTGATCCTCCTTTTCACCATGGGTCTCATCACTTCACACACCCAGTCTATCGTTCATTCACTCATTTATTCATTCACCGCCTTCCCCCAGAGAAGACAGCAGTCGCTCTTGTCATGTTATTCTCATGAATTATTAAAACCTCCTGACATGAATAATTCAGCAGTAGAAAACTGGGGACGGACGAGGGCGTGTGTGGGAGGGGGGTGGGCTCATCTTGCCTGACTCTTTATCCACTGTGGTCCTTGAAAGGCCCTTTCTACCTGTTCCTCAATAATTGATGACCGTGCTGTAATGGCTTTAATGAGGGAGACTTGGCTGCCTGGCAGGTACTTGATTTTGAGCTCTTTTGGAACTCAAAGGCCAGTCTGAGATTAAGTGAGCATAAAACAGTGAAAACATGACCCGAACCGGAGTCTCTGTGAGATAATAAACTGGCCTCAGTGACGGAGGATCCTATTCACACTGAGAGCAAACATAACTAACTGACTTTATTACAATCCTGTGAGTAAAGTAACAGAATACGTACATGATTATGATACTCACTCAACATTTCACATTTTTGTATTTTGGTTCATATAAGTTTAATTTAAGCATATTTCTGTTATTTCTGTTATAGTTTGAGACCAACTATATATTATAGTTGGTCTCAAAAATGATTGTGGTTAAAAAGTCCACCTCGGCATCACTCTGTTTGCTTCTACTGCTGTTACATTACTTCTGTGAGTGCAGTTTTTATAAGGTATTTTTAAGGTTTTAATTTTATCTCCATTTATTGATTCCCATTGTCATTGTTTAGCATAAAAATTTATCAGTTAAATATTTGTTCCTTTTCACAAAATCAGTCTCTGAGTATTTAATGTTTGTTGCTTATAAAAGTTGCAAAAAGCACAGAGAAGAACAACAGCGTGGAAGATCATGGGTTTGATGAGAATGCTACTAATACACATAAATGTGTGTGCAGGTGATTATAACGAGGCTTACTTTGTGTAGAACTGTCCCTCTAGTTGGTCTGTGAGATATCCACATTCTAATTTGGAGTGGATTTTAATGTGTTGAGAATTAATTGTTCCAAAAGTCTAAATATAATTCTGTTGTTTTCCCGTGACTGGACCAAAGATAGTCCAGGCATAGCTGCCCTGTCTCGTCTGGTGCAGCGTTGTGTCATATTCCATGGCAGAAATTGTGAGTTTAGTCCAAGATTACTTCTATAAATATGTTTGCAATCTGACAAACCCTAAAGTAGGAATAACTAAACAGATTGCAAAGGTCCTAACATGTGAGCACTGAGGAGATCATTTAGGAGGAGGTGATCTGTCAGAAGGTTTCTTTCCCTTTATTTTGCTTTTCTTGAACCTTATATTTTCTCTGTTAAAATGGAAGCTGCCCGGCGCCCTCAGCTCTTTTCCTGAACCTTTCAGCCAGTAGGAAGCAGGCGGAACTGATGTCTCACAGTCTGCAATTTATTCTCTATTAAACCAGTGCAGCAGAGCAAGTAAAAGAGCACAGGAGCAGAGTGACAAACCTGCCTTCCTGGGAGGGATTTTGGCAGCAGCCAAAATTTGTTTGAGCTCAGTTAAAACCAAAGAACAATGAAAAACTCCACAGAACAGAAGACAAAAGAATATGTGAAATGCAATGAACACATCAGCAAATAAACTTTAGAAAAGAGACAAAAATATATTTCTATGTTCTTCTTCCACCAGTGCTTTGCATCACCTACTGTAATGCTGCATGTAGCTGGAGGCCAACTGTGCAGCACTCAGCTTCACAGGCTGATTGCCTGCAGTGTTATTATCATGTGCAGCCTAGTTATCCAGTCTACTGTACTTAGATAAAAGCCTGTGGCTGCACTTTCCATGCATTCGAGTACTGCAGGAAGTACTGTAATTACAGAGGACCTGTGACCATGTGACTCTGGTAGAAACTTTCAAACTACATGAAATCAGGACCCGGGCATAAATACGATGAGCACAAAGGATCCGACACTCAAAAACAGTACAGAAAATAACAATGGCATCAGATTTAATCACAGATTGTGCCCTAAAGCATTGAAGCTGTTGATCATGTTCACAATGAACTTCTAAAGTTAAAACATAATTACACAATTAGACATTCAGTTATCTACAGCTTAGCTTAGTGTTGGAGCTTAAACGCCACAGCTCTCTGTCCTCTCCAGCATTTTAACCCTGTTTTAACACTGCGCTG